GCACCGGCCGAGCCGAGCCGAGCCGAGTTTTAGTAGTTGCCAAATTTTTAAGTTGCGCTTGGACAAAGAATATCCCCTTAAGATCTTAACTTTTCAGATTCTCTGATTCCCGTTTTAGTGTATTTTAAGTTAAAATTTTCGCATGCTCGTATGTGAGACATAGACGAACCAAAAAACTGGATTTGAAAGCCCTTGGTCATAACATCTCCTTAAAATTTCAGCTTTCTAGCTTCTCGTTACCGAGTTAGTAATTCTCCCGTCGAAATTTTTACATATCCTTGAAACCCATGACGAACTAAGGCACTGAATCTGAAGTCTTAGATCGCCACAATATGCGTTTTTGATGCCTGCTGCTGCGCTATTGCATTATACAGCAAAAACGCATTAAAAACCGGCATTTTCAATGAACAAAAAATCATGGAAAAAGCACAAGTTGCCGAAAGAAAGTGCCACTAAGGACATCGGATAAAAAGACAACGATTTCGAAGTGTGGAAAGATCACCGCCAGCTGGCATTACATAGTTGCATTCTCTGGCCATAACAGCTTGATGCAAATTTCGATTGCTCGCAGCAAGCTTTTCATAATTCCATACCGCAAGATGATGACTTTTACCATGAAGACAGAAGACATGTGTTGCCAGGATGGATGAACAACAGTGCGTCATCGTCGAAGTACTCCACCACAGTGCTTTCATTTCTTCCACAGGGCATAAAAATCCAACCTGTGAACGAAATATGGCTTTCGTTTGATTTGTTGTAACACCTTTCTTTTGCAAATGCATACAGCATCATAATTTATGGTATTAATATTATTTATTAGTTATTACATTGCGGTACAAACTGAAGAGCTCCTATCCAAAAGAAAAAGTACTGGTTTTCTGTGATTCTCTTATACACTAAGAACTCTTTTCTCCAAAACTGCCTCCTGAACAATCTTTCTATGGAGATGTCACTAACATTTCTTTCAGTTAACTGACGTTGGTAAGACAAACTATCAATTGTACCGTATCATCTCTTGCGCGTAGCATGATAAACAGCTGAGGAAAGTCAACTGCTTCTCAATTCTACCGATACCATATAAAAGGCCATGGGATGACGAGAAAAACACTGAGCAGGTTTGTTGCTTAGCAGCAGTTGTCAAAGATATGCATGCTGTCAGGATAGTAGTGATTAACTAAATAAAATGCGATGATGCTCCGTTTTCAACGTTTTCTGGATATTTTTGCATAACCCGAATGAATTTGAGAAGTAGCCAAAAGTTGTACGCCAAAAGACACCAACAAATCGTATATTACACCTGGTCTTTTATGCGTTTTGCGCTATATAATAGCAGCACAAAAAGAATATTGTCACGCCTCTGCCTGTGTAAGTTTGTGTATGTGTGTGCATTTTGTCCAGCACTTTCAACTCGGGAACAACGAAAGCTGGAAAGCTAAAATTTTAACAGAATGTTCTCCAACTACATGCGACCCCGTAAACCTAAATTCAGCCCTCAAGTACCTCTGGGTGTCAAGTATAGCCTCGCGAAAGTTTTAGCGAAGAAAACTATCATCTTGGAATAATTAGTTAACCT